GATGGATATGCATTTAAAATAGTTAGGGGATATCTCAGCATAGATTTATAAAATAAATTGTTATCAGTACACCTGTGTTTATGATTGGGAGAGCACCCTAGACTGTGGGAAGCAAAATTACTAATTCATCCCCTCCTGTCCTTCCCTTGTCTCCCCCTCTGTCCCTCGCTCAGCCTCATTCTTTTTTACCGCCCTCAGCTTTCTTCCCTGCCGTCTTTCCTCAGTCTCTCAACCCTCTTTCTCTCATAGCAAGCTATATTAGGCATGTGTTTTTCAGTCCATACTGCACGTCTGAAACGGTGCTCGCGCATGCGCAATATCTTCCAAGAAGAAGAATATTTCGCAAAAATTATGCATTTAGAATAGGGATGAGGTATTCTAGCATAGATTTATATGATAATATTTTACCAGTATACCTCTCTTGAGAAATAGGAAGACGATCTCGCATGTAAGGTGCCCGCTGCATATACCAGTCAGTACATAATTTGGCTACGTTAGTGTGTTAGCTCATGCGCAATATCTCAACAGAGGAGTTATATTTTGCGCTGGATATGCATTTAAAATAGTTAGGGGATATCTCAGCCTAGATTTATGAAATAAACTGTTATAAGTAGACGTGTGTTTATGATTGGGAGAGCGCCCTAGCCTGTGGGAAGCAAAACTACTAATGCACCTCATCTTGTCCTTCCCTTGCCTCACCCTCTGTCTCTCGCTCAGCCTCATTCTTTTTTACCGCCCTCAGCTTTCTTCCCTGCCACCTTTCCTCGGTCTCCCAACCCTCCTTCTCTCATAGCTAGCTATATTATGCAGTGTTCTGCAGTCCATACTGCACGCTTGAAACGGTGCTCGCACATGCGCAATATCTCCCAAGAAGAAGAATATTTTGCAAAAATTATGCATTTAGAATAGGGAGGAGGTATTCTAGCATAGATTTATATTGGAGAGAGTGAGAGAGTGTGTGTCCTACCCTGCCTACGCCGGGGGAGACAGCTAAGGGAAAAATAAGAACAGAGATAGAGAGAGAGAGAAAAAAAGGTCGCGAGAGAGAGGACGCTAGCTCTCAATTACCTCTCCTGCGGCGACGTCGCCTTCTTCGTCAGCTGCCGCACCTTCTCCCTCAGCAGCGGCAGTTCGCGGGCCTCGCTCTCCAGCTCCAGTACGCGTTCGAGCCCGTCGCCGACGTACACGCGCGCCTCCCGCAGTCCGTCGCGCGTGCGCGACTGCAGCGCCACCAGCTCGTCGGCCTCGCGCTGCAGCCGCTCGATGGCGCGTCGCCGCTTGCGCGCCTCGTATTGGAGATCCTCGGTGACGTACAGCGCCTCCTGGAGCTGCACGTCGCGGTTGCCGCGCACGCGCGCCATCTCGCGGACGAGTCGCTCCATGCAGCGCGGCGAGTAGTGCCGGTAGCGCTCCGCCAGCGTCGGTGGCGCCGCCTGCTGGTCGTCGCCGCGAAGCGGTGGCGCCACCTGGTGGTGGTCGTCGTCGTCGGGGCTGTGCACGCGTCCGTTGCGAATCTCGATCGTCTTCACGCTGCGGTGGATCGTCGGCGCGGGGGCGCCACCGTCGCAGACGCACCGCCGGCAGGGGTCGCGCTGGCGCTGCCGCTGCAGCTGTCGCGTGCGTCGCAGCTCCACCTGGAAGGCGAGGCAGCGCGCGTCGCCCGACTGCAGCGCCGCGCGCAGGTCCTCGACGAGTTCTCGCAGTCCCTCGACCTCCTCCTCCTGGGCGACGACCCGCTGCTGCAGCGTCTCGTAGCTGTCGACGATCGCTCGCCAGATGAGCTCGATCTTCGCGGCGCAGTCGCCCTGCTCGGCCGTCAGGGCGGCGCCACCGCCGCCGCGTCGCATCGCCCCCGCGAACGACATCTTGCACTTGTTCAGCAGTAGACTGTTGACAAGCTCGCGCACGCACATCGAGCACGTGATGCAGGCGGTCGCCGCCAGGGGGCGCTCGCCGCCGCCGCCGCCGCGCAGCGACGTCGCCTGGTTCAGCTTGATGCTCGTCGTCACGTACTCCTCGTCGTCGTCGGCGACGCGCGCCGACGACGGCCGGAAGTCGCGCACGCCGAACGTCGCCAGCACGTGTTCGCAGAGGCGCGCGTGGAACTGCTTGAAATCGAGCGACGTCGGCAGGTCGTCGGGCGACGGCGGCGAGCCGACGGCGAGGACGTCGCACAGCGCGCGGAACTGGTCGGCGGAGACGACGCCGGCGCCGGCGCAGTCGAGGTTGTTGAATATCTCCTGGATGTACTGGTCGACGCCGAGAGAGAGCACGACGATCTCGTTCGGTGCGCCCTGGTCGAAGCCGTAGTGGTGTGCGAGTGCGCTTACCACCCACTCCGTACGTCGGGACACCGACCTAGCCTCCATGGCGGCTCACACAGAGATGTATACTATAGGATTATATTACATATATACCTTGTGACCAGAGAATATGGAGTTTACGAGAAATTACAGCGAGAAATTACTCGGGGGGGAAAGAGTGCCGCTGTAATAGCTAGTACCGCACGGGGGCCTAATGAAGGCGCCGATGGGAGAATTAGTTTGAGATCTTTACGCGTGGCTGCAGCACTACGCTCCCACCGTCGCCTCGTAAACGTTGACGTAAAACGCGAGTTTATGCGCTCCATGTGGCAGTTTGTTTGATGCGTTGCCATGGGAACGCGCGTCCCGATAGGCGGTGTGATGCCAGAAACGGAGGATCGAGTGGTTTATCGAAGGGTTTAGTTTTCGATGAGTCTCGAGGACGCGGAGAGGGATTTTGATGCGAATGGAGTTAGTATTTCTATATGTATAGCTCTACTGTGTAGCTACTATATAGCTCTATCGCCTTCACTTGTGTAGGTTTTCGCTCGCTTGCACGCACACAAGCACGCAGAACACTCTAATGAAACACACCAACGCAATCATACACGTACGCACGCAAGCACGCACACACGCACGCAGAACACTCTAATGAAACACACCAACGCAATCATACACGTACGCACACAAGCACGCACACAAGCACGCAGGCATACACGCACAATACACACATAATGGATGTATATATATATATACATACACACCACACCCAATCAGCATTTTCTGGCGTAAAGCCGAGCCAGGTTGTTGACTCTGACTACTAGTCTAGGTGCGAATAAGCGGTCGTTCGTCACATGCTGATAGACAGTAATACACGGTCTCTCGTACGCGTCGCTTCAGTTCACCTCACCGCCGACAGAGGGCGGCCAAAGAGAATTGGGAGCGACAGGGAGAGAGTAAGAAGGACAGAGATTTAAGGGAGAGAGAGAGAGAAAGAAAGTAGATCAGAGATAGAAGGGAGCGAGAGAACGAGGTCCAGAGAGAGAGAGAGAGAGAGCGAGAGAGAGAGAGAGAGAGAGAGAGAGAGAGAGAGAGAGAGAGAGAGAGAGAGAGAGAGAGAGAGAGAGGAGGAAGGAGGAGAGAGACGAAG